CTTGAAATTAAAAGATTTTATAAACCTTAAAACCATGACCTCAAATGATCAAATAATTCGATCAAACTAGATCTCAGTCAAGCTGCAGCAGCTTTATAGTGTTGAAGTAAAGTTTTTATCGTATTTCAGGTGTTGACGGGTATCTTTGGAGTTGGGACAAAAACAGCTGACCGATGGATCCGAGAGGGGATAACCAACCTTCAGCAGCTACGAGACTCTGGGCAAACGCTCAACCGCTCGCAGCAAGCAGGTGTTGTTTCTGTTAAATCATGCTGGTTTACTCTGGTTATCCGTGTTGGATGCTAAAACATTGAAATGTGACATGGAAGCCTAGTTTGTGACGGGGCGCATACTTTTTCCCAGCGTTGTATGTTGTGGCGTTGCAGGTTTGGAGCACTACGACGACATCAACCAGCCAGTGAGCAAGGCAGAGGCTGATGCCATCAGGGAGATCGTGGAAAGAGCCGTGGCGTCTGTGTTACCGGGAGCTCAGACTGTTCTCACTGGAGGATTCAGAAGGTTGGAGATCATTCAGTTCTTTCATGAGACAGAACCATGCAGTGGTAAATCAGTGGTAGCTGCTGACTGTGGTTCCTATTGTCCAGAGGGAAGCTAACGGGTCATGATGTCGACTTCCTGATTACTCACCCTGAGGAGGGCTGTGAGGTGGGACTGATGCCCAAACTGGTCTGCTGGTTGGAGTCACAGGTATGCTTTTCATAGTAAGAGTTTCCAGGAAAATGTTGGATCATTTTGATTGAACGTATTCATCATCCACTTCAATTTAATCCAATTTACTCCTATAGCGCCACTTTACAAGCGTCATGTCAACAGACTTTCTAAAAACAATTCAATCCGATCACAGAGTCAGATCAGTTCAAATGTTTTTTATCTAAGGAAAACCAGATGATTGCATCAACTCATTGACTCTAATTCAATCCCTCACACTAAGCATGCTTGTAGCGACAGTGGAGAGGAAAAACTCCCTTTTAACAGGAAGAAACCTCCAGCAGAACCAGGCTCAGT